TCACCTCCCACGGGTCACAAGAAGCCGTTCTCTCACCTCCCACGGGTGCTCTGGCCACGGGTCCTCAGACTGGTGCACACGAAGCTGTTCTCTCACCTCCCACGGGTCTATAGACACCTGTTCCGAGTGATTTCCTCCGCCACAGCTTTCCACAATATACTGGATTCCCCTTGATCAGCTGTTTGCTATGCATCTAGAAGTTTGACCTGTCTGCTCAAAAGAAGATTGCATAGCATCAACCATGTTGAGCCATGCCTTGCATTACTCTTGAATGCTGCAGTGCTATTAGCTACTTTGACGCAACCCTTGTTGCAAGCGATAAGAAAAATAGAAAGAGGAGGGTTGAGCACGCAACGCTGTAGCAGTAAGAGTAATGGGGAAATACTAGACACACACAACTGCATTAAATTTGGTCAGAGTAAAGGGCAAACCTTAGACACACACAGAACACTACTAACAAACACACACACACACACACCCACGAGACCAGCGCTGCTCGGCGACTCAAGTTTGTCCACGTTTCCATGTGTCCAGTGCTTGGCATTTCAATGCTGAACATGTTTAGTTGGCCACTTTAAGATCTTGGGATATCTTGGGTTATCCCGGGTCCCCCCAATCCAAATCCTGATGTTTGAACACACTTGTTGCACATGTTTGAGTGGACAATCCCAAAACCCAGCAGATAAGAAGCACGTGTTTCTCGCAAGACACAAGTCGATTCGTTCAGTCTTTGCTGCGCGTGGGATCTCTCAGATCACTTGTCAGCGATTGTCATCGATCACGTCTCCCCTGCCAGTTAGAAAGTAAACATTGAAGATTTCCATATACAAAGAACACACGCTGCAGATGTGTAGCCCTACCTTCGGGATCTTCCTCCCCAGGCTCTTCCTCTTCGCCCTCCATTTCAAGCCCATCCAAATCCTCCTTCTCAGCGGAGGCCTCCACACACTCCTGCGCCTTTTTCTTTGCCAAAAGTGCAGACTCCATGGATTCCTAAGGGCCACGGAATCTCAAACAATAGAAACCTGGACACTGGTGGACATTGAAAACAGCACAGGGTTCAATCCCCACAAGCACACACCCTCAACTGTGAAGTTCACCAAAAGGGCAAGCTACTTGAAGAAGTGTTGCTGCCGCGATATCTCCATTTGTTCGGACCAGCTCCTCCTGGATCGCTACCTAGCCCACACACCAGTTTCAATTATGGTTCAATCGTTCTTGGGTATGTTTCAATCGTTCAATAGTCCCTGCATGCGTTTTGTTGGTTCTGGTCGTTTTTGACAAGCGTCAGCTATGGTCTCCCTCTCATCGGGAGTGATCCCGTCAGCAGGCTTGAACTGGGCGCAACTATTACATAGTTCAAAGATGTTCAAAGAGGGTGCAAAACCAAATTGAAAGAACATGGAAGGTTATGAATTTCATTGAACTTCAATGTTTATGAACTTGAATGTTGATTTAACTTAATGTCGATCAGTGGCAAGCATCTTCTGTGGTCCATTGATCTTGTAACCGAAGGTTCCGTTCTTGTAGCGGCAGATTCCGATCTTTGCACGCTTCGGTTCATCTTTCGGAGATGACGATGCAGCTGGGCGTTTGTTTGAAGCTGGTCGCTTCAGAACAGGTCCATCACATGGAAACTCAGGTTTCTCATCTTGTTTTTCCGGTGCATGCTGCTTCTGTTTAGGAGCAGCTTTCCGCGGACCCTTACCCTTGGCCTTGGGTTTAGGTTTGGGACTGGGTTTTGCTTTCGGTTCAACTGTTCCTGCTTTGGGAGCAGGCTCCTCGTCGCAGAGGTCCTCGACAGGTTTCAGGACCATGTTCAACAACCTGTGGTAGCCGGACATATGCCCACAGTGCAGCCCGTTGTTTTTTCGAGCAAAACTATGGACCATTGCATGTGTTCATGAACACTGCAACAATTGCACAAGACACAAGCATTCACTGCACATATGTTGAGGGGATTGTAAAGCTGTGTAACAGGTGTTCAACCAACATCAAACTAAAGCGACAACGCAAATCAAGCTAACATGGGAAATGCACTGTAGCTTCCGCGGTAGATTGGGATCGCGTTGGCCTTTGGGTGCGTTTCTGCGGTTTTCGCCTGAGAGTTCTTTCTGGGTGGTCAGCCCTGAACACATGAAGGGCAATGAAAACTATGTCAAAACCTGCACTGACTGGTTTCGCTGGGATCATTCTTCCTCTGGTGGCACCCGGTGTTGAAACGGCTTTGATGTTTTCATATGCTTTCTGAAAACATGTCAAAAGGTCCGTTTGCTATGTTGGTGCGCAGTTCAGAGGTTCCCCTCTGACCCTCAGCAACCTGCGCTCAAGGCTCTCATGGCCTCATGCCTTCAGCTGCACACAGTGGCCAGCCGGGATGCTCAAGCTGCAAAGCAGGTAGTACTTGTGCTTCACAGGCGATAGGACTGCTGGAACTTCTTCTCCCACCTTCACCTTGCCAAGCAGGTGGCAAAACTAAACCAAACAGAAAGAGGTCGATTGTAAACAGAAAGTGAACGTCAATTTATGAACATCAATGAACTCACTCACGAATCCCCTCCTCCCAAACGATATCGAAATGCGCTGCACGAGGAAGGGTGTTGAGCTTGTTCAAATAGACAGCTCCAAGCATTGACGAGCGCATGTTTCGAAGATCTGTGTCGGTAGGCACTTGCTTTGGCTTGAAGCTGTTGACATTGGCAGCAGGGGTGATCTTGTACCGATACCGAAGTGGAGTTGCATTTCCATCTGGACCCACCTGAAGGGTTGAACGCAGCCATGAATCAAACCCTTTTCCATGTTATTGAACCCTTTTCGATGACAAAACAGGTTTTAGACATGATTTACCCCACCACTGTTCGCGCTGCCATGGTATGGTCAATGACCCGCAGTTCTGTGATTCCTTTGTTCTTCACTGTGTCACACATGCAGTCTGCAAGGGTTTGTAGCTTCTTCTCAGACGCATCCCCAATCATGGCCACAAGAGTCTTGTCGCAAGTGACCAGCCAAGGGATGCAAGACGACTGCACAGGCCCGTCGCCTGATCGAAAGGTTCAATCTTTCATGACAAACACCTTCAATCCAACTAAGACCTGAAGTAAACATGTTCAGGGGTTAAACATGTGTGGCCTAGAACAAGTCTAGCCATGTTTTGCTTTTGCGCCTGACGGAACTTCCTGATATGTGCCCACATTGAAGCCGAAGAGCTCCCCCGCAGCCAAATCGACTCCAACAGTTCCCCGGTTCAAAATCCAAAGGCTGTCCGATGTGATCCCAATTTGGAGTTCTGTTGACCGAGCTATAGTTGCACATGCTTCCAGCCTTAACTTGGATAAACCAGAAAGTTCTAATTGTATTTGGTAGTAATATACAAACAATACACTTCCACAAGTGATATATATATATATACAAAGGATCAAAAAGGGTTCCATTCACAACTAAAGGATCAAAAAGTGGTATATACTAAAGGATCATCCCGGGAACGAATGGCGCAATTCAAGTTCAGCAACTGGGATCGCAGTCAGGGAAAGTCTCTTTCGAAAGTTGATGGGCACCTCCCCAGCCCAATCTGGCGAGGCCGATGTTCGCAGCGTTTTCGATGGTGCAGGCCCAGTGGTGGAGGAAGGTCGCCCGCTGCCTGAAGACCACTGCTTCACAGCTAATGCCATGTCCCTTTTCTCTTCAATCTCATCCATCAAAGACTTCACTACATCAGCTTGCGATTGAAACTTATCCTTCACCAAGTCTGGAATCCTAGCATTGAGCTTCTCAGATTGAGTCTTGTGGTAGCCTTTAGCATTGAGAAAAATAACGCACTAGAAAAACATAAAACCAATCCCATCCAAAATGCTTGATGGCCCCATCAACGACAGATAATATGTCCAGGGATGGCAAAGCATCAGCAAATGGGACGGACTCCCTTGCCTTTGGTCCTGCTGCAGTGCACCCATCCCAATATTCACTCATGGCCTTGCCAGCAATCAGACTGCAGGCTGCTCCCATCTCCGCTGCCTGGTCGTTGTGGTAGAGGCCCAAGAAGCGCACATCAGGCTGCCGGTCGAACTTGTCCTCTTGGGTCAGGGTGCGGCGCTGAAGGTCCCAGGCAGCCAAGCCCCACTCATTGAACCTGCGCCAGCATCAGTAGACATGTTACGTTGAACCTTTCAAATCAAAGGGATAGAACCAACTGGTACTTTGTTCATTTAGGCGCTGACCAGTGATGAATTGGGATGAGCCTTGCCTTGAAGGGACCAAATCAACAATCAACAGTGGGGTCTCAGGGCTCAAATCCATGCCCTCCAAGAGTTCCAGGATGATGGTAGTCGTAGCTGCCACCCCACGTTGCTGCACCTCAGAGTGATAGTTCATGGCGCTCATCATGGTTTCCCAGCGGTGCATCTTTTTTTTCAATGAACCCCACTCAATTTAAACAAAAAGTTCTTCAAGTTGATGCCAGGAACCCGCCAATGAGGTGCCAGTGCAAAATCGGGGTCTGGGTTCTGCAGTTCAGACACTCTGCTACGAGATACCCCCGAAATGGCACCAAGCAATGCCTTTGATTTGGACCAGGGAGTCCCAGCACCAACAGCGCATGTAGCGGCAATGCCTTGGTGTTCGCCCCACCCTCAATATCCCTCAATCAAACATTGGGTGAACATGTTTCAAAAAAGTTGCACTGCTGCGATGTTTTGCGACGATCTCCTCCATGCTGAGTGATTTGGTAGCTCAGGGCTATATCATAGGTGTTCATCACCCTGAGAAAGCCCCAAGCCCCGAAAAATTCACCAAGAATCACACACTCTTCGCTTAGTTCCACTCTGTGACCAAGGCGCGCTCCAACCTTATCCTCCATCAGACGCCGGTTCTTCAACACCGTCGCTTTGGAGGTGCTCGTGTGATGCTGGGGTAGCATCAGGAAGCACAAGCTGTTGGGGTTTCCGCTGCACACTGTGTGTGCCAATCCAATTGCCTCATCCACCACCAATGCTCCTTAGATACTTTAGTCTGGGGAACTTCAACTTGGGTGTCCTGCATCAGCTTGCAATCCAAAGGTCGATGGGGCCACAAGGTGCAATCCACAATCAGCAGGCTCAGACTCAGGTATTTTGTAAAGGAGGGCAAGACTGCGTTACTTGGAAAACCGATGTCTATTGTAAATTGATATGATACAACTTGATTGCAAACTTTCATAAACTATTCAATTGAGATACCCTCCACTCCCCAGATCTGCTTGCATACGCACCAATGTAGCATGCCCCAGTGACAGGGACGGGTGGTTCTGTGTCTGGTACTTCTTGTTCATCCAGTCATCCACAGTCTTCTTTCCTCGGATGTAGCGGTCGTTGATGTGCTTGTAGTCCAGCGCTCCCTGCCACGTTCAGGCCATTGTCGGGATCAGCTTGTGACTTGAGGAGAGAAGGGTTTCAGATAAAACATGAACTGGCCTGTTGAGAAGTGTAGAGATCATAGTTCTTTGCCCACGCGCAGAGCTTCTCCGTATCACAAAGGGCCTGGAGCTTCGTTTGTTCCCATGTGGTCTGGAGTAGCTGCGCACTCAACCTGACGACGACAGTAGTAGCGACAGTGACAGTGTTGACATGTGTTCACACCCACTCTTTGATGTTTTACTTTCATTTCACTTCACCAAACATTGGCTGGAGGACTCCGCTGCTCGTTCTCGGCCCTTTCGTTCAGCCTGATGCGCAGTGGCCCGAAGATTCAGAACATTCATTCGCCTTGTCAGTGACAAAACTATCAACACACATGTTCAATAGAGCCTCCTGGGAATATTTTGCTAGATGCGCCGAGAAGATAGAAATCTTCGTGAGATCTGGAGCTGGAACGGTGTGTTCCAGCATTGTTAGGATGTCTCCATCCCCGTGCTTCAGCTCAAACCTCGAATGCAAAGATAGACTCCAATACATGTAGGGATTTGATTGCTCCATGGGTTCCACGCACCATGTATGTTTGATGCCCAAACCTATATGTTACATAGCCTAGCAACGACCTGTGAATCTCCAACAAACATGAATCCGCGAAAGTCTTCGGGACAGTGTTTTGGAAGGCATCCAAGCAAGCCAGAAAGCCACCGCAGATCCGTTGCAGCTGCTCCTCAGATACAAGCATAACTGCAAACACACAAAGAGTTTCGATCAACCAGTCAAAGCATTTTCGCTTGGTTTAGGGCTGATTGCATTGGTTTGATGAGGGACCAAATTGAAAGACCTTTGCTTTGCCTAGGTTCTAACTCCTTCGGACTCCATGCCTTTCTCTGTTTCACAGGGAGAGCAAGCCAGTCCATCTCAAGTCGCGTTAGCAGCACTTGCGTCAGCTCTTCAGAGTTGGTCAACTCCGCTTTCCAAGGTGCAAACACACCTGTAGCACTGCAAAACTTGTCGTTCAAGTACCCGCCCGAAATACTTTCATGGCTGATGAACTTTGGCTGCGTCCATTGCCTAAGACCGATCTTTCAGTGACATTGATTTTGTGAGATTTGTGGTTCTGAAAGTACAAAGGCGATGACCGGACCAAAATAGTCAATGTCTCCCGGACACCTGGCAACATTTTGTGCAGCAGGCAAATCGCTGCTTGACTCTCCTGCTTGCCCAGCGAGTAGGCTGCAGCTATGCTGGCAACACTCTCCTGTGCCTCCCAAAGCAAAAGACAGAGCCATCTCAAACCATAGGTTTGCAAATGCTTGAAGACCGTTTCAAAAGCAAGCATTTTGTAGGCATTGACACTTGAACCACAATAAAAAAATCTCAAACCTGGGTATGCCACTGGGTATGCCCTGGCCTCCAAGCCTTTGACCGCTGCCTCAGTTGTGGAGCCTGTTCTGCACAGGAACTCGAGCTGGTGTAATAGGTTGAAGGCGTTTGGACGCCTTCGAACCCCGCTTTGGAGGGTCACACCTGGCAATGTGTCCAAGAAATGCAGTCCGACAAACGCTTAACACCAGGCCTCGGTTGCGTTGGACTACATGGGAAGTATCAGGCGGAACGCTGTTTGCAAATATCGTTGAAAAGCTCCTTGCGCGCACTTCTGCACTTCAAAGGGGCAATAACAGCTAGATCACAGAATTGGCCATTGAAACTCTGTGGAAACGGATATGGGCAGGCAAGGCGCTTCTTGATATCAGAAGGTCTGTGCAATCAAAGTTCAAATCTTCCTTGATCCTGAAGCTTGAAATCGGTGTAGACAACCAGATTTCTTGGGCCAGGGTTACTGTAAGTCGCTCGACTCCGGGACAGCTGGCGTCGCTCAAAAAGCCATTGAGGAGTATCAGTTGGCACAAGCTGTGTTGCACTTCCTCGCAGGATCACAGGAATAAATTCTGTCAACCAACGCTGAACTCACACAAGCTTGGGGCTGCGCGTTGTCAGCAGTACCACGCAAACCGTAGTCGCTGCGGTGTGGCAGCTGCCAAGGCCGCAATAGCCAACAGCCCATGTGGGAAGTGGCGTCAGCCTTGAGATATGTCCTGGGTAAACATCCCCAAATAGGTTGAGCTCAAAACAAATGCTAAAGCCACAACTTAGTTTGGAACATATCGGGCGAGGGTGGAAATGTCTTCTCAACGAACTGGTAGAAGCCAATAGCAAACGCCTCCCATGAGTTTTACTTTACTCAAGTGAGCTTTACAACCGAGTTTGCCAAACCTCATCTGCTAAGTGGTCAGTCAGGAGAACATCCAATGTTTTGCCCTTGGAGAAAATGTTCTCCTGCCTGAGTTGGTTGTTGCAATACACATGAAAAGCACAGGAATGATAGGTATACATCAGCCCATTTCTTACTAAGTGACGCCCAATCATCAAACAGCTTCATGTGTGGGAGAGCCAAAGCATCAGGTGGAACGCCAGGTGCATCAGTCTTGCCTTTCTTGGGCTTCGAACCGCCGGCCCCTCCTGAGGTCCGCTTCTTTGGTGCCATCGGCCTGGCTGAAAGGCGCGAAAGTGGACTGGCTTTGGGAAATGTCTCAACTGATGGGTTTTCCAAGAGATTTTCTGAATAGAAAGATGTTCACAGTCCTGATTGCACATTGTACACCCCATTTTGTGAAGAAAGACGACCACTTTCTTCACAAACTGGTTGGGCATTTCAAACCTCGACTGCGCGAACTCTCATTGAACAAGTTCAGCAAAGTATCAACGATGGACACCAGAGTTTTTGTGAAGAAATACGTCAACTTTCTTCACAAAATAGCTTTGCCATTCAGGCTAGTTGTTTCTGATGAATACCTCTTCACAAACTGGCTCCATGCGTTCATGGTCCCCAAAGCACTGAGCACATGCTCCCATTAGATCTGACCAACATGATACTTTAGAGGCATTGAACTGTTGAAAAAATATCATAATTTCTTGTGCCCAATGCCAGAGTAGAGTGGAGCTGAGTGAGATACCCCCACACCCTTCCACTTCAGCTACTGCTATGACTCCTCGAAATTGCTTCGGAAACGATCCGAATCGCTTCCCTCATAGGGAGGCCAGCAGCCCACAGCTTGGACGCTGCCCTGTACAAGGCTTGCTGTCTCCGGGCACGGGTATAGGCCAGAGCTTCAGCTCTATCAGGTCGCTGTCGAATCATTCGCAAATCATTTGCAGCCTGGAGAAATCAAGCTCATCGAATTCCAATCTCACGCAAACTCAAGGTGAAGACAGGGTTTCAATACTTGACTCTCCCTAAGCATTGCACAGGCTCCAGGAACTCAGCGTGTGCTTCGGGAACTGCACGGACACCCGGTCCAACCGAAGGACCAGGATAGGGCAGGGACCTGGGAGCATGTTTTGGATTGGCACTTTTAATTTCAGCGCGAGGTTTGGTTGCGCAAGGCTGTTAATTGATTGAGAAGCTGGCCAGTCAATGTCTAGTTGGTCAGGGTCTTTAAGCACTCCATGGGCAATGGATTCCAAAGCATCAGCTGCTTCGAACATGTCAAAGGGATGCTGACCTGAGAAAGCTAAGCTGTCCTAATCCCTGATCCCTGGGTCTCCCTCAAGCTGAGCAATCCGATTGCTTAGGCGAGAACGCATCAGCCTCGCGCGCTTGATGAAGGCAAGATTCTCCTTGCTGTCGGGGTTCACAGGCTGCTGCTCGAAGACTGGCCACAAAAAACAGTGAGATTGCAACATATGACATATATTACAACCTTTTTGTCATGCTGTCAAACATTGTCAAACATATGGCATGCGCCTGGTGGTGCATCCCCCCGACATCTCATTGCCACAGAATAGGGCAAAAATAAGATTGGCTTAGACTGGAACTCCCCAGAACTCAGAAATTGCTTTGTCCTCAGGGGGGCCAATGACTGACACTAGTAGCAAAGTGTGGATTGTGAAACAGTGGTGAACTGTGACTAGTCTTCGGTCCTAAGCACAACATCAGCCTCATTGGGTTCATAGCAACCTTTCCAGAACTTGTCGTCCAAGGCTTCCCTCGCAATGCCTGTGAGGGTACGACACGCTAATGGGTAAGATATGTTAAGCGCACGCTAGGGTTTGTGTAAGACAGAAGTCCTGCATCTGCAAAGCGCAGCAGTGTAAAGGAGTGGGGTGCGCCCGGCCCTCCAACTCCAACAAGGTGCCCACGAGCAAATATCTCCCCCAGCCACATCTTCCTCAGAGGAACCCATGAGAGAAAAAGGGTTGAGGGTTGGAGGGTGGATGAAATTGGATGAAAGTTGCATGCAAGCATCCAGTTCCGATACTCAGCAAGCAAGTAGACTTGTTTGTCCTTCTCCAAAGGCCTGCGCGCAGGATCCCCCAGGAAATCCTGAAGACACCGTTTGAATTGCTGCGGTGATGCCAACTCTGGGTGCGCTTCGAAGCACGCTCTGACTCTGTTGAAAAAAGCGTCCACGTCTTCGTGCGAGTGGCCGGAGCTGAGAAGCCGCATTCGCAGCCATGGAGTTTCCGTTCAGAGATGAGCAAGCTCATTGCTCTCAGGACTGTCACATTCTTCAGCTCTTTGCTGCAGTTGTCGCCCTGGAGGTGCACCATGGTGCACCTCAGGTCAACACTGCGAGCAATCCTGGACAAGCCATGCATGATGATCTGACAAGTCCGGCTTCCGTTGCATTGGACAGTATGAGGGCTCAAATGAAGATAGAGTCCATGCCCGTGACACAAAAATGTGGTTGAGCTCAATCTCGGCCGATTCAGTGTCACGAAGTCTTTGGCAAGAAGGGTCCGGCTGCGTGGCCAAGAATGTTTTTGCTGATCCATCGAGTCGATGATCCCACACAATTGAAACACCTGTGGTTGCACTGAGTCGATCCTGGAGCGTGCCCGTGCGCTCCAGTATATCTCTCGGTCAGCATGCTGACGGCGAAGGTGAGACTGTAGCATCGTTGACTGAAGGCGCTGAGCTGCAGGGCAATGCCC